GCCATTTATTTTTATTCATTTATTAGTATCTATACTAGTTTCAAAAATAATTTTGAACTTTTAAAGGCAATTATAACGTGATGTTGACCTGGGTCAAACCCGGGTCAATTAAATCATGACCCGACTTGACCCGTTCGGGTCAATCCGACTCGTTTCGGAGCTCTATTCAAGTCACACATCAAGGTATCTTGTTAAATACAGTATAATCGATTTATTTGTTCTATATACTTAAAAAAGTTAAAAGTGTTTTTTAAAATTTTCATACCTTTTTGTGGGAGGAATGTACAAAAAAAATTTTTTATCTTATACTATTTAATGTTTTATAATGCTTAAAATTGTATGTATATATATTTAAACTTGCAAATAATAAGTGTAACATTCAAAATACAAAAGAAAATTTATTTTTTATAACCGATCCTTTTTTAAAAAAGCTATAGGAGAGTTTCTTTACTAAAAGTTATATTAAAAGGAAGCTGAAGATTTGTTCTTACAAGGAAAAAAATTTTAACATGTGGTGATATATAAAATTTTATTTTACAATATGTACGTGTTTTGCGTTTTATTTATTTCTACTAATAAATACTAGTAATTTCATAGTGCGTGACAGTTTTGGATTCACAAAATCTATATGTGTAACATCGAGTTGTCCCCCCACTTATTTACTTACCCCTAGATAATATTATATGTTTCTGATCATATGATATTTTTGATTTTTTTTATATAAACATTGTAAACGAAACTTAAGAAATTATGAAAAATATGAAAATTATATAAAGCTAAACTAAATATATTATTATCATTAAGTATAGTTATGAATATTGCCTTAGCTGTAAAAGATCTTTTAAAGATTTAGGGATCCTTAAAACGTCCCGAACTGTAACTCCTTCATTACGGTTAATGGTAAAATCAAGTTCTTGCATTATTGAAAGTTGTTTCATAAATTCACCCTGAAAAAAAAAAAAAAAAAAGTCTCTTTAAGTAATATGAAAAAAAATAAGGAATACACCTGCATAATTACTTACATGAAGAAGGAACATGAGATAAAGAACTGCTTTGTATTTTGATCTACCTTCAAATGAAAAAGGAATTATGGCAGAAGCCAACTCGGATGCCAAAAAGGTACCATCATCAATCATGTTAAGAGAATATAATGTAATTCGATAACCTAATGATCAGGTACAATGCTAATCAATGATTTGAAATCCTCATTTTTTAAAATAAAAAAGACACTTACTGATGACTTGCAGACTGAATACTTTTATATTCATCGCAGCCTTTACAGGAATATCCAAGTGGTCAAGCAAAAGTGCAACCAGGTTCAAGATGTCACTATGCAATGATTTCTTTGTGTCACAAACTGCATGATCCGTTGTTGGTGATGATGGTGGACCAGCAACCTCCATGTGCCATATTTCTTTATCGTCAAACAATCGGACACCTTTTAAATATTGATTGAATAATTAAAAGGCAACTGTCAAATATTATAAAGTAATAAACATTTGTTATTTACCCTTCGCATCTAACTTAACAATTCCAGAACTGGTGGGTGATTTAGTCAATTTTGCTGATAGAGAATGAGATTCGATCCAATCGAAGGTTATATTTCCGAATGTTGTTTCGTAAAATTTAAAAAGCGAAGAGAGATTCTGCACAATATATTTCCTCTCTCCAATTTTTCTTGAAAGTATGGGAAAAATATCTACCAGGTTATAACTAGAATAAAAAAGTAGGAATAAGTGTCTATTCACTTAAAAGTAACAATAAACAGCAAATACTCACAAGTCGATCAGTATTTTCTCACAATATAAACGGAACTTGTTCTCATCGTCTCCCTTAATTTCTAGCATGATAGCCTTCTTAAAGTCTCTTCCTGACTTCTGTAAAATGAGCAAAAAGATGTCAAATATGTTTCCTTCCAATATGCTACTAATTAATGTCTATGAAAACTCACTTTCAGAGCATTTTCAAGATAGTTCTCTATTTTAGTCCACATAGGTGGTGCCTGAACGTGAACTCGGTTGTATTTTAAAGAATGTTTCATTACATCAAGATATCTAACATATAATAAAGTAATCAAGTTTACGTTCTCTAAATTAGATGTTTACTATTAATATATGAAACTCACTGAATAACTTTCCAATCACACATCTGACGCTTATTCGGAGTATGAAGAAGGGTGTCTTCGTCCAGAGATGTAGGTGATGGTGTCCTCATTATCTCTGGTTGCGGATTAAAATTTTCATTTGATTCTTGTCCCATAACCTGTGCTGAATTTATTATTTCTGGTTCAAGACTTTCAAAGGGCCGTTTACTTGGTGTGTTGGTGTCGACTCTGGTATAATGTTGCATAAGTTTGCCTTGATTTTCATCTTCGACATTTTCAATGTCATTTATTTGTCCTTTGATATTCCTTTTTTTCTTTGATTGATTATTCTTTTTGGCATGTTTATTATTTTTTTATAAGAAAAAAAGTTTGTTTTGATCGACGTGTACACATTAATTATTTATCCTATTGGTGTTTTTTTTTGGTAGGACAGACGCGAATTGAGTTTTTTTTTTGGAAAAACAATTTATTTTTTGAGAGAGTCCAAGGTGACAAAGCGTGAGTGTTGTTTGTTTGGGTCTCCTAAAGTAATATGTTAATAACTAACCAGAGGTACTATTTTTTATTTGTATTGATATGTATGAGGTGTCTTTTATTTTAGTTTATAAATATTTTAATTGGAATCAAAGCACAGAGCAGATCTTGCTGGGTAATTACAAGACTTTCATTGATAATATTTTGCTTTTCGTAATAATTAATATTAATAATATTATTATAAATATTATATAATTACAAGAATATGTCAAGGTAGCACACCATTGAAAAAGAAACATTTTGAATATGCAATGTTTGATTATCAGAAATTGGCAGGCATTGAAACACGCATATTGCCTTGAACTTTACAGTCATTCTCATCTTCCTTGTGTACATAAGGCTAATCTGACCTGCATCCCTCGATGGATATGATATGCAGTTGAATTCCAGGGGAGGAGCGCATGGCCCTGGAATTTATTAAAGCTGCATCAATCATCAATGATGTTTTCACTAATCTTCCCAGACCAGAGATGGCTGCTGTTAGACAAAAAATTTCCTGCAATGATCCCACTTATAGGGCAAGGATGGCACTGTGACCAAGTCACAACTCTGTTGATGAATTGTAGTGCCATGTAAATATCCAGATCCATCAAAGCAACGAGAACCTGCAACTTGTTTCAAGCACAGGAGGTTGCAATTCAGAATGGGGTTGGCAGCCCTGAAATGCATTTGGGCTCTGATGTCAGTAAAATAAAATGGTTCAGATTTTGTTTGGTATGTTTTGTATATATTTATCATTCCCAAATTTTCTGTTTTTCTTTAATTTTTATTTGACCAACTTAATTTGTTTTTTAAATAAATGGGGGTAAGGTTATTGATGAGCAGGAATGCCACTGACCAGGCAGCAACCAAGGCCTCAAAACTCTGAATTCAGGGAAATCCAAAACAGCAACTTTCAAATTGCAGAATTTTCAGACATACAAAGCAATCATCACACAAATGCCAATCTTCATCAGCAATCAATGCCTGTATGGACAGCCAAGCCTGTCTGAGGGGAAGATAGGGAAAGCTTTGTCCAAAGCCTTCCAACTTGTTCAAGTCTACTTTCACCTGTGGGAAAAAATTCCATGGTGCTGAATTGTGCTCAATTGCACAGCGCTTGCTTGTTTGTGATAGGAAATTTTAATTAAATCTGACCCCTGTGATCAACACCAGATTTATTGTTTATTATTTTTTTATAAGAAAAAAAGTTTGTTTTGATCGACGTGTACACATTAATTATTTATCCTATTGGTGTTTTTTTTTGGTAGGACAGACGCGAATTGAGTTTTTTTTTTGGAAAAACAATTTATTTTTTGAGAGAGTCCAAGGTGACAAAGCGTGAGTGTTGTTTGTTTGGGTCTCCTAAAGTAATATGTTAATAACTAACCAGAGGTACTATTTTTTATTTGTATTGATATGTATGAGGTGTCTTTTATTTTAGTTTATAAATATTTTAATTGGAATCAAAGCACAGAGCAGATCTTGCTGGGTAATTACAAGATTTTCATTGATAATATTTTGCTTTTCGTAATAATTAATATTAATAATATTATTATAAATATTATATAATTACAAGAATATGTCAAGGTAGCACACCATTGAAAAAGAAACATTTTGAATATGCAATGTTTGATTATCAGAAATTGGCAGGCATTGAAACACGCATATTGCCTTGAACTTTACAGTCATTCTCATCTTCCTTGTGTACATAAGGCTAATCTGACCTGCATCCCTCGATGGATATGATATGCAGTTGAATTCCAGGGGAGGAGCGCATGGCCCTGGAATTTATTAAAGCTTGCATCAATCATCAATGATGTTTTCACTAATCTTCCCAGACCAGAGATGGCTGCTGGCAAAAAATTTCCTGCAATGATCCCACCTCTAGGGTAAGGATGGCTCTGCAACCAAGTTGTGTTTTGAAGAGTTGTGATATTGGGTGTGCATAAACATCCAGATCCATCAATACAACAAGAATCAGCAACTTGTTCCAAGCACATGAGATTGCAATTCAGAGCCAGGTCAGTGGCCCTGAAATCGCATTTAGTCTCTGATGTTAGGAGGAAGGCTTTAAATAAAATGGTTCAGATTTTTTTTTGGTATGTTATATATATATTAGTTACTTTCCCAAATTTTCTGTTTCTTCAATTTTTATTTGACCAATTGAACTTGATATTTTTTTAAATGGGTTCTTTGCCTATACAACTCAACCTAGGTTAATAATAAAAGAGTGTAACTCAATCAGAGCATGTTCTTACAAGTATAAATATGGCAATTCAACTCTGCCCACTCCCATTGTGATGGTCATCATGATCATTGGCATCAAGGAGAAAGTTGTAAAATAAATTTTGTTTGATATGTTATGTAAAAATTAATCATTTTCACAAATTTTCTGTTTCTTTAATTTTTGTTCAACCAACTGAAATTGTATTTAAAATCCAATACAACCACTCAGGTTGCAACCTCCTGAGTTGGAGTATTTTGAATCAGTTGCAGACACCAACTTTGTTCTATAGATCGGGATAACACAAAGCAATCATCACACAAGTACCAGCTATCAGTGATCAATGCCAAGCATGGTCTGAGAGAAAGATAAGGGAATGTTTTGTCCAAAGCCTTCCAACTTGTAAGTGTCTCACCTGTGGAAAAAATTCCATAGGGATGAGATGGTGTGAAGCACCCGTTTGTGACAGGGATTTTAATTAAATCTGATACCTGTGATCAACATAAGGAAAATTGTGATCTGGCATGGCCTTGGTGCTACCCAGGTGATTATGCAATTGTGTTTACAACATTGTTAATTGAAATTTTTTGTGTACAAGTCAGTTTTGGGTTGAAATTTTTATAATTTTTTGTATGAGTTGGGTTCAGGTTGAGATTTTTATATTTTTATGTACAAGTCAGGTTCGGGTTGAGTAATCATTCAATTATGATGACCCATGCAGGCCTCTATTCTCGAAGCACTCACTGATTCATTCTTAGTAAATATCTGGCATATATAAAATTATTCACACATAATACTGAAATATAAGTTTATTTAAAAAAAAAAAAAAAAAATTTTTGTAAAATTAATAATAAATTTCCAATTATATATAATGTATAAAATTCCTAAAATTCCTATAAAATAATAAAAATAAATTTAAGTATGTTATTATTTAATAAAATTAATT